CTGTTTTTCCCCTCCCTTGAATTGTGAACCGCCCTGAGTCCCCTCAGGGAAAAGGGCGGCATACAAATAAAGTAAAATCAAATCAAATCAAATATAGTAGTACCAATCTAATATTCAATATCTGATGACAGTACAGTTAGTTCCTGACTTACAACAGTTTGTTTAGTGACCGTTTGAAGTTACAACAGCCCTGAAAAAAGTGACCTATCACCAGTTTTTATACTAGCAGCATCCCCATGGTCATGTGATCAAAATTCAGAGCCTTGGAAACTTATTATGACAAATGATGTCGCAGTGTGATTCCCGTTTGCAACCTTCTGACAAGTAAAGTCAATGGGGAGGCCAGATTCACTTAACAACCATGTTACTAACTTAAACAACTGCTCTGATTCATTTAACAACTGTGGCAAGGAAGGTTGTAAAATGGAGCAAAACCCACTTAACAACTGCCTTGCTTAGCAACAGATTTTTGGGCTCAACTATGATCATAAATCAAGAACTATCTTTATTTTTATAAGCAACATTGAAAAGTATTAAGTATTTTTGGAAAAATGTATATTTATGCACATTCTCTACCATAATAATATAGACAAAATTGCATTGGTAGGTGCCCCTGGAACCTTTCCTTTGAACAACACCCAATTTCAAAGAGATAAGCTACAGTTCAATTTATAAAGCTACGTGCCTCCCTGGGAGTGGCAGTTACTGTAAATAAGACTTCAAAGAAATGCTGAGCTGCATACAATGTTCCTAGACTTGTTTTCAAATAACTTCTTTTAGACTGTTATAAAAAAAAGTATGTTTCTATTGTACTAGTGCAATGATGGTAAACCTTTTGGGCTTGGCATGTCAATATTTTTTTTAAAAAATGCTCAACTTGACTATGTTGACATGTTAACAACCCCACCCCGAATAAATGAGAAAAAATTCTCTATTTTCCAGCTTCCATCTAAGCCACCCTGAACAGTATCCTCAATGTGTTAGAGATGAGCTGGGCCTTAAATAAAGGCCCAGACTTTGAAATCAACCCTAAAGTCACTGCTACCACTCAAAAAGGCTGCTTCATATCATTCCCTCAGATGCTACCCAGGATCTACCAGATGCCACTTACCTTCAAGCAATGTTCTCTTTCTGTTTGCAGACTCCTGTAGCCTACATAGGGCTGTTCTGAGTTACACAGGCCTTTCCTCTTGAAGCAGCTTCAGAGAAAGCTCTTCCACAGCCTCTGTAGACTCCAAAAACTGTGAAAGCGCACCCTGTTCTTGTGCAAATTCCAGAGGCTATGCGAGAACACATGCCATTCTCTGCTGCCATCAAAACTCACACAAGCACGGGGCATGCTTTAGAGATTAATTGTTGTCAGGCGTTGAAAACTGACATGTCACCTAAAATGTCATGTTGTATCACCTTTGACATACAAGTCAGGTTCACCATCACTTAACTAGTGCAAACTTCTTTTCAGAAAACCATGCTCTTGCAAGAAATATATTGGTCCAATAATATTCTAATATTCCAGATTTTTAAACTGTGTTTTCTTCTATGTTGAATTTTTTTATATAAGTCTAAATAAGTGAGCATAGACACAGTTAGATAAGATTAGACTCATACCACAAATCTCAAAATAATTGTTAAAATTATGTGCCACTATCTGAAGTTGGAAGTATGCATTGTTCACCTTTTAACTTTAAAAACAATATTAAACAGAACACAGTATCCAATAGCCCTATGACAGAAATAAGAAACTTGTGACATATATCAGTGACTGTCAATGGATTTGAACTACATATTGTGTGTGGTAAAAGTATATGAACCTCTGCTTTCAGTAAGCGAAGTGTCCTTCTTGAGCAGCAATAACTGCCACTAAATGTATATAAGGACAGTTGATCAGTCCTACACATTGGCTTGGAGGAATTTTAGCCCATTTTTCCTTCTAGAACAGCTTCAACTCAGGGATGTTGGAAAGCTTCCACACAGGAACTACCCTCCTTCCACAACATTTCTATAGGATTAAGATCAGGGCCTTGCCTTGGCCATTTGAAAACATTAATTTTAACTTTGGCATTAATTGTTCTTGGCTGTACTACTTTGTATTTTAGGTCATTGTATATTGTTGCCTGACCCACTTTATCTTGAGCTTCAGTTCATGGATATCTAGATTATAGGTCCATCAATGATGGCAAGTCATCCTGGTCCAGAGAAAGCAAGCAAGTCCAAGCCAAATTTCATAGAAGAGATAAAGTTCTTATACTGAAATCTAGTATTTGCCTTTTGCCAAACAACACTTTTTATTCAAGCAAAAACATCCTATTTTGATCTCATCCTTCCATCGAACATTTTTCCAATAGCCTTATGGTCTTTCACAAATCGTAGACAGGCAGCAAAGTTATTTTTCTGAGAGTAGTAGCTTTCTCCTTGCAATGCTGTCATGCACATCATTACTATTCTATGTTCTTTTGATGGTGGTCTCGTGAACACTACCATTTGCCAATGCAATGCAGTATCATTAGCTCTAGGGGTTTTTGAGACCTCCCAGAGTATTACATGCCTCGCTCTTGGTGTGATCCTGATTAGTTGACCAGTCCTGGGGAAGGTAACAAAAGTATTGAATTGCTAATATTTCTGCACAATATTCCTGATAGTGGATTGGTGGAGTTCAACTCTTTGGAAGTAGTTTTGTAACGTTTTCCAGCCAGCTGGATATCAATAACTATTTTTCAGAAGTCCTCAGAAGTCTTCTTTATTTGAGCCATGATACACTTTCACATGCTTGTGAAGATTAGACTTTAATAATGAATACCCAGAGTTGTGTTCTTTAAAGAATGCAGGAACTTCCACATTTATATCTGATAATCATTCCAATGATTAATATATCTGATTCTAATTTCCCTTTCAAATTAATTGATAATTCTAAAGGTTCACCTACTTTTGCCATACACAAATAGTAGCTTTGGATCATTTTCCTAAATGAATAAATGAGCAAGTATAATATTTATGGTTCATTTATTATATTGGATTCTTTTTATCTAATTTTAAGACTTGTGCAAACAGATTGTGTTTTAGGTCACTTTTATGAAGAAATATTAAAAATTCAAAAGTGTTCACAAACTTTAAAGCAACACTTTTCGTACATGTTATTTCCCAGATGAAGTACATAGAAATCAGATTGACTATATTATTGGCAGAAGGAGGTGGAAGAGCTCAATTATTAACAACAAAGACATGGGCAGGACCAACTGTAGAACAGATTAGATATTGCTCATATGCAATTACCCAATTAAGGTAAAGTGGAAGAAAAAAGCCAAACAGTTTCCATAATATGACCTTGAGCATACACACCATTTTTAAGGAGAGCATTAGGAATCACTCTGAAGCTTTGGACCTCATTGATAAGGGTTCAAAGACACTAAAGAATAAACTTAAAGAATTTGTTAAGAATGAATCTGTAAACAGATTGCCAAAGATCAAAAAACAGAAGAAAGCAAATTGTATATCAGACCAAAGAGTGAAAATCGCAAAAAAGAAAAGAGATAAAGCAACCCCCCCCCCCAAATCACAGGAACAAACAATGAAGAATTTTAAATAGCTGTTAGAAGAGGCAAAACTGTAAATGAAAATGGAAACGGACATGCAAAAATCGGGTAAGTCTTCCAAAAAATCCCCAAAATGAGAAATGAGTTCCAACTTCAAAATGGTACACTAAAGGACACCAATAGACAGTTCTTTACGAGAAGAACTATGTTTAGCCAATGATGGCAAAGAATCAGGAGGAGGCTGGTAGGACTTTTTCTAACTAATTTTTTTATTTCAAGTTATAAGCTTTTGTGAATTTCACAAAGAGTAACAGATAGTAACTATTCCAAAGAAGACGAAAAAAGATGGAAAGAATGAACTGAAACTATGTACAATAGAGATTTCATCATCGCAGATGCCATAGAAGATACTCCTACTTACAAGAACATCTAGTACTAGAAGATGAAGTTAGATCAGCATTCTGGCCAGAACCAGTCAGGTTACATTGATGGGATATCTACAGAAATACATGAAACAACAGAAGAATACTAAATAATGGTTTTAACTAACCTATAGTAGCAAATCTGGAAGAAAAAACCCCAGTATTTAACAAACTGGAAGGTATTGATCTACATACTAATAGTAAACAAAAGGATTTAGCAGAATCTGCAGACTACAATACACTATCCTTAATTTCACATGCTAGTAAAATAATGTTTAGGATCATCCAATGCAGATTAGAGTCCTGGTATATTCCAGGAAAAGGAATAGGCCAGATGTTCAAGATGGATTTAGAAAAGGCTGAGGAACATGAGAAATTATTTCTGATGCACGCAGGACATTTGATAAAGCCAAAGAATACCAAAATAAGTCAGTGTGTACTTAATTGATTAAAAAAAATCCTTTAATTGTGTTTGTCATGTCATGCTGTAGAAAATATTTAGAAAATTGAGAATTCCAGACCATCTCCTGGATGAAACATAAATAACCTGTGTTATGCTATTGATACTCACAGTAAAAAAAGGACTAAGATTAAATGTAAATATAAATAAATTTCTTTGTGGCACTCTATGTAATTGAAAATTTACTTTGAAGAAGCAGGATAGAAAAGGGATGACGCTTTAGAACTTTGATATTGAAGAAGACTCTTGAAAATACTGTGGATAGCCAAGAAAATAAACAAATGGGTCACCAAAGAAATTAACCAGAATTCATTCAAGGTGTAATGTTACTAATAATGGCTTGTAATAATGGTATAATAAATAATATTATGACAGCAACCATATTCTTACCTTTTCAGGAATAAACTAAACAGAATGTTTTTGTAAAAATTGCAGGATTGCAATAGAAGTCAATTAAAGAAATACATTTAATAAAATGTAGTATATTTAAAATATCTAAAATGTCACCTGCTAGGGAGCAACATTGGACAAAAGTTATCACATTTCTGTTATATAGATCTGTACGTATCATGAATTTGTAGTAAAGGGGCACAGTGAAACATGATATGTCAGACAAGATAGGCATTGACCAGTATGTTTTCAATTTTAAACACTTACGTATGTACTTACACTGAACAGCATAGGAAGCCAAGAGTACAGCAGTATTATAAGGACAGGGCAATCTGTAAAAGGTAAAAAACAAAACCTAAAAATCTCCACTATGAACTATAATATTTAAATCCAAACTATTTTATCAATTTATTTAAATTAGGCAAATCTATTGAACTATGTGGATCAGTGACGTGCGGTGAAGCTTCTGGCTGGTGAGGCAAAAAGAAAGAAAGCGGCTTCCCCCCCCCCGCCCCGCAGCAGGCTGGAGCGAGAGCTGCGGAGGCGAAAGGCGAAGAGGGGTGGGGGGGTGTTTGCAGCCCTGGTTCTGTCTCCCAGCATCCCCAGGAGGAAACGGCGAAGAAGGGTGGGGGGGTGTTCCAAGAGGCCCCCTCCCCTTTTGGCACTCCGAAAGCCAGGCCTGCAGCAGCAAGAGGATCCGCTCCGCTTCTATCGCCCCCCCCCCCGCTCCAGAGAAGCCGGCCGGGCAAGTCTTTGCAGCCCCGGTTCTGTCTCCCAGCAGCCCCAGGAGGAAACGGTGAAGAGGGGTGGGGGTGGGGTGTTCCAAGAGGCCCCCTCCCCTTTTGGCACTC